CAAAGTTACATTTATAAGTACATTTGATGTCATTATAAATAGCCCATTGTTTGTTGTTGTCATTATTAGTTACCATCTAGTCAGCCCCACCTCATGACAACCTCATGTGTGCAGAGTAGAACGGTACATAGGCTGTAACCACCAGGACTTTGGTTCGCAGTACCTCTGTGTGGGGGTGCATTACCAATTTGTCAGCTAGCGGCTAAGCACTGAGCCATTTGTGCCACCCAGGGACTCCACGTAGTACCTTATAAAGCGATAAAATACAACTATGAAATGATTGACAGCTATCTTCCTCGAGGATCTCTAGCGAACGTGTTAGTCATCCGCTGACGTAAAGAGTGCACTGTCCCCGCAATGTTGAACTTAAAATGGCAACATTCCATGCAAAACATCACCAGGGAGGCAATTAGTTTTTAACAGAAATTGGGACACATAGACACATTTAGAATGAAGACAGACAATATAGGCAGAACTTTTTGTTGTGCATAAACACACACACACATACACACAGGAATCAACAGCCTCTCTAAGTCACTGGAGGTACGGAGATCAATGATGCATGTGGCGCTGCGTATTACAAGGGAGTCCCCAGTGCTCTCTGCAGAGTGCTGAGTCTGTCTTTAAAGCAAAGGTAGTTGGCATTTTCATGCATTTAACTGCATTTTAGAGATGCCTGCTATTTGGACATTCGAATTGCAACATTCTTGTCGTGAAATCTTGCTTTGTACTTGGGGGAGCTAAGATCACATGTTCAGAAATACTTGGTTTTGACATGAATTGTAGTTGCTCTTCCGACTGACATTTATTAATGACACTGGTTTTAAAAAGTCATCATCTTCCCTGTTCTGAACATCTCCAAAATGATGCTAAATCTGAGACCGAATACAAAGATAGAGAAACGAAACTTAATTTTGTTACTTTCCCCAGAGGACCGAAACAATCTCAGACCATACATTAAAGACTGAGCAATTTCTAATTTAGACTATCTGTCAGTTTTGAGTAATGAAAGCAGCCAGTAGAGTATTTGAATACACTTTGTGTCTACTTTGCTTCTTTTCCCAGGTAGTATAAAGATGTGAAGAGGTCATGGCTTAACCTATAAAATAGTGACATGGTAATTTATTAATACCAAAAATACCCTATTCATTTCTATTAAACTTGGTAGAGGCTGGAAATCATGATTTTTCCGGTGGAAAGGCCATGTTAAAGGATATCTTTCTTTCTTGTGTCCTTACTGTCTGTCGCATCCCCTTTCTGATCTTGGCTTTGATTTTTCTCTTTCTATCACTAAGAATTTGGCATCTGTATTTATCACCCTCCTCTTTGCATCAACTTCACTGTATCAACGAAATGAAAATACCATCCTCATTCTGGTCATCCAGTGGTATTGCCAAAGACCAGACCCCCTGAAGGTTGGGACGATTCACCCAGGAGGCTCCCTACAATACTGTCTTCTACTCTGGAGGCTGACATTTGAAGTAGGAAGTTCAGACTAGAAGGTGTGCAATTTACCTGGGATGTTGTTCACTGCCAGTGATTCCATTTGTGACCTGTCTCCACTAGGCAATTAAAAGTAAGCCCTTATTATAAGACTATGGGAGACTAGTCTTATACTTATGAGCCACTCTAGTTCTGAAACATTGATGTCCCTGCAGGATATCTTTATCTTATTCTAGTTTTCTACCTTAAATCTAATTTAAGGTTAAGCCTTAGTAGGCAAGTGACTTTGGCCAGGTTATGTAATAATTCCCACACTGAATTGTCAATCTTTTAAAAGTAGAAACTGAAATTGTAAGGTTGTTTTAAGGATTCACATTTAGGTATGTAAAGTGCCAAGCATGCACTTGTGTACTGAATAGATATTCATCATTTGGTGACTACATTATTAATGTAGTTAAGAACAAGTAATTAATTCCAGGTAGTCAATCAACTCCCTATGCATGTGTGTTTACTACATATACATAGAAAAACAAGCATCATTCTGGGTGCCAATTGGGTTTCTCCGTCAGGCCCCACATCAGTTGGGTGTCTCGCCGTAACACCAGCTTTATTTATCTGTACTCAGTGGAAGTCCTAGATGGGTCATGGTCCTAAAGCTGTCAACGACTTTGCTTCTTCAATTCTGCGCCTCTTTAAAGAGTGGACCCCATTTCTAGGTTGCACACTGTGAAGTCTGAATGGGATTCTACTTTCTTAGCCCTGTGTTTGTTCCATAACTGTCCTTTTTCCAGAAGGAACATATAAAGAAAACATTGGAGTTTAGCAAATAAGTTAGGGTAAGAAGATGTTGTATATTTTCAAAGGTACTTTTGTAGGGACTTTGAAGTGTTTAAGGTGAGTGGACAATGATTGTTTTATAGCTCTGAAGAAATAGAAAGGGGTAGACTTTATTTAAATTAGCTGGTAGACAACAATGTAGGTCGTTTTCCTGTGTCTGAAGCAATGACGTGAAAGCCACGTCTGACCTCCTCTGATCCCAAGGCTAATTGTCTCAAGACAGATTTCTATGAGGCTGAGGTCAGACGTGGCCTCTACCCAACATCCTTTTTTATTTTAAAATCCTATCTTGACACCACCATCAGGAGTATAGAACATCTGCGGCTGCGTTTGATAACTCACTGTAATGGCCACACAGAACGCACAGACACTACTAGTGATTATGGGGAGTATGAGGGAAGTTAACAGGTTACAGTTGGGGGAGAAATGTACAAGATACCAGTGTTCAGTTCAGGACAGTTTCTTCTCTGCTGCAGTCACAGGCTGGCCTCTCTGACCCCAGTCATTTGGCCTAGCTTTGGCACGGCTCAGGCAATGTTTAGGGCTGCCAAAATATGTCCAAAGGGCATGCCACTTTGCTACGAACCTTAATGTGAAGGCACTCGGCTCCAGTTCTGTGATCTGTAAGCCTATCTTCCCCAATTAAGTGCCCAGAGCTCTCTGTTCTACCAGCAGCCCTCGAACCCCACCGACCTCAGCTTTCCTTGTTCTCTGCATTGGGAAGCCATCCCGCTTCCCCGTGCTCTGAGTCCCGCTTCTGTCCTTGTTATTTCTCTGCTGCTCCCTTGTGTCAAAGCTATCTCCTCCAGCAAAGAGGTTTAATGCTCAGGGAGCTCAGAGATGCTCTCCCCTCTGGGCTCGTTTGTTTATAGTGATACCCCCTTTGCCTGCTCCTGAGATGACCCCCTTTATACCCAGCAGAACGGCAATCCTAATCAACTCTATTCATAATCACATAATCCAACCTTTCACCACCTTCTTACCTGGATCCACCAGGAAAATGAAAGCCATTTGATGGGAATAATAGAGTCTGTGGCTAGAAGGATAGCCCTGGTGACACAGTGGCTATGGGTTGGGGGGCTGGCTGTAAGGTTAGCAGTTTTAAACCACCAGCTCCTCTGAGGGAGAAAGATGAAGCTTTTTACTTCCATAAAGTGCGAGTTCTGCCCTGTCCTTGTGGGGTCATTATGAGTCAGTATTGACTGGATGGCAGGGAGTGAGGTAGATGGCTAGCAGAACCATATTAAATAATTCACTGAATTCCAGCATCTTAATGCCTTGGTAGTTTGGGAGTGAGGTAGATGGCTAGCAGAACCATATTAAATAATTCACTGAATTCCAGCATCTTAATGCCTTGGTAGTTTTATTTGTTCTTGAAAGCCAATTTCTTAATAGTATATTGGGAATATTTTGGCCCTGTATATACCTATATGTAGATATGTAAGGATAGATGGATATATAAATATCCTAAATGTAATGGGATCATTTCTTAATGGCTTCAATGAAATTGGTGTCCCAGCAGTTAAAGAATTCAGCAGACCAAATCCAGCCATGGGTTTTTGAAAGAAAAGCCCTGGAGATTCGTCTCATAACAATCCCGGTCCAGGAAGTCCTCTGGGGCATCTCCACGCTGTACTGCAGAGTAGCTATGAGCCAGAAGAGACTTGAAGGCACTCAGCAAAGCCAAAGCAGAGGATGTATCAGCAGTGAGAATAATCCGTTTCATTGATTTTCTCTCTGACCTTGGGCAGAAACCAGGTGCATCTTAAACATTCTTACTCTAGCACATTGTAGGTGCTTTAAAAATGACTCTAACTGTGACTAAGAATAATCTCCCAAGGCAGTCTTGTGGAGATTGGTGAAGACGAGTTGGCAACACCTTAAAAACTATCAAAGGAGCTCTTTAAAAAAAAAAAAAAAA